ACCTCGGGCAACTCAGACTCATCTTCTGGTCTCGATAACAAATCTGCCAAGACATTTTCACTTCCAGGAACGTGTGAGATCGTAAAATCGTACTCCTGAAGACGCAACATCCACCGTGACAACTTCCCCCGTGGGTCTCTCGCTGTCTTCAAAAATTGTAGCGGCTTATGATCAGTTTCGATGTGGAACCGCCGGCCGAGTAAATAAGGTCTCCATTTGTCGACTGCCCATACCATTGCTAAACATTCTTTCTCTATCGTTGAATACTTTCTCTCTGCGAGTGTCAAAACCCTACTGGCATACTCAACGATTCCCTCGTCCTGTCTTAGGACCGCACCTATAGCGTAGTCACTGGCATCTGTGCACACTGTGAACTGTCTTCCTGGCACAGGTAGTTTTAGCGTCATTTGTTGGTGGTCGAGCAGCTGTTTAATTCTGTCGAATGTCCTCTGCGATTCTTCCGACCAAACAAACTTTGGCTCACCTAGTAGCCTGTATAGAGGGGCTGCTATCTCATTGAAGTTCTTCACGAAGCGGCTATAAAACGCTGCTCTACCCAAGAATTGTCTCAGTTTTCTCTTTGAATTCGGGGCTGGAATCGTTTTAATCGTCAAAATTTTCTCCGGCAGTGGTTTAATCTCACCATTTCCCACTTTATGTCCCAACAGAGTAACATTCTTTTTGGCTATCTGGGACTTGGTTTTGTTGACGCGTAGTCCAAACTCTTCGATGCGTCGCAGCACGGCTTCTACATGGTTGACGTGATCGTTTTCGTTTTGACTGTATATGACGAGATCATCACCATAAACCTCCACGTTTTTCAAGTTCCTAAGTAATAGCTTCATCAGTCGTCTGAACGTAAACGGTGCACCTGCTAGTCCAAACGGCATGCGTTTAAATCGATATTGTGTCTGACCCACGATGAAAGCCGTCTTATCTCTATCACCTTGTTTTATCGGTATCTGCCAGTATCCTGAGCGAAGATCGAGAACCGAAAACACATTCGCACCTTGTAGGCGATCTAAAGTTTCTACCACTGTTGGCATGGCACACGGTCTTAACTCTGTCATACTGTTTAACTGTCGAAAATCAACACAGAATCTATACTTCCCATTCGCTTTTTTTACTAACAGCACTGGAGAGTTGTACGGGCTATCAGCTTCCTCAATAATGTCATCTTTTAACATCTCTTGCACTTGTCGCTCCACTTCGCCTTCCAGATGACATGGAACTCTTCGCGTTGTAAATGACCTTACTTTCGGATCACTTAACGGAATTTCATGATTCACCTTATCGCAATAACCGTATGGGTCGCCATCTCCAGTGAACAGATGATCGTATTTACTAATTAACTCTGTCACATTGTGTACCGTCGGCAGCTTAATCGCTGCTATCTCGCTGGTCTCATACATGTTGATATGCCCGTATTTCGTGACCACCACGTTCGCTTGCGTGTCGATTATGGCACCAATCTCACGCAGAAAATCCGCTCCTAATATCGTTCGCTGTAGTTCGGGTACAACAATGAAAGGAAACGTCACCTCGCAGCCACCAACAACGACCGTACAGTTCGATCTACCCGTGATACGCAACACATACCCGCCTACTGTTTGTACTGTCAATGAACACGGGCTAACACTCTTACATAAATTCTTATCTATTAACGACACGGCCGCCCCTGTATCTATCAAACATACTACTTCTCGATCATTCACTCGCAACTTCGAATACAGAGCCCTTTCTCAATAGCCCCCACTAAATCTAGGTTCATACGAAAGAAAGAACAAGCATTATACCGTCTGAAATTTTTTCTTTTTCGCCTTTCTGGGCAGTATCTTCTCCAGTGTCCCGGCTTACCGCATTCAAAACACCGGTCTTTTCTATCAGCCAACTTTAACGCCGCCACTTCCCGCTGCAATGCTTCAATTTTCTGCTCATATTCGTTTGGTTTTGGTTGGTCTATAGCGGCTACCGTTGTGCTCAGCAGCTGTCTGGTCACCTTCGCCAGCTCGCTAATATCCATCGGCTGCGTTGCGTTAACCAGTTGTAATCGCTGAGAAATGTGGTCTGGGACACTCTCGATGAATTGGGAAGACAGTAACTGCGCTTCTGATTCTTCATCTAAAGTGGGAAGCGCCGTCGAAGTAGATTAGTCAGTTTCACCGCCAACACTAGCGGGTCTCCATCAGGTCCAAGCTTCATTGACCGGAACTGCTGCATTGCTAGCTGTCTGTCTGTTTCGCTGTCAAACTCGGACACTAGTCGTTCAACCAATTTCTTCCAAGACGCTGTGCCATTTGACCTGTCTACGCTGTCATATGCAGCCTTCGCTCGGCCTCTCAACAGCGTCCCCAGACAACTGCCTTCGCTGCCTGCTCCTTGACACCCACCAGCTCAGCAACAGCCTCGAAGTCACGTAAGAAGCTCCTTATGTCTCCTTCTTCAAACGCAGCTGGCCACGGGATCTTCATTTTCTGGAGGCAGCGACACCAAATGTAACAACAGAAGACAAGGGCGAAGCAACAGATCGTTTTATTATGAAAATCAACACGTATTTATACATATTTCAACTACATTATTATAGACAAGCGCAGTCATCTGATTGGTTGTTTATCAGAAGTTAGGTAGACAAACGCAGGCTTCTGATTGGTTGTTTCGGGATTCCTTGACAAATAGAGTTCTCTATCTGCGAATCATATTTTGCCACGTTAACTTTGCTGTGATTGGTTGTTGACTCAGCCTTGTTCATATTTTCTCACGGCCCATATTAGTGACCTAGACCTTAACGTAGATTAGTGCCAACCAATCGGCTAGCAGCCTGCTCTCACCACAATATCACCAGACACAGACAACCACGGACATCAATTCAACTGGGACAACGTTCAAATATTAGACAGAGGAAACACAAAGAATGCAAAGAATTTTTGGAAGCTTGGCATTCCAGTGAATCATCAGTCAATAGACACATCGAAATAGACAATTTATTAACCGGTAAGAAAGAAACTTCACACACAAAGGGTCAAAGTTCAAGTCAAAGAAACAATAATCAGTTCCAATACAAGTAACCCAGAAGGTGTGAAAACACACATAAACAATCAATCTCGTCCAGGGTCAGGTAATCAGGAGAGATTGTAACAACAGAAGACAAGGGCCGGCAACAGTTCCTTTTATTACGGAAATCAGCGCGTATTTATACATATTTCATGTACATTATTATAGCTTATTCAAGTAAACAAACGCAGTCTTCTGATTGGTTGTTTCGGGTTTTCTCGGAAAGTGGAGCCATCTATCTGCGAATCATATTTGCCCACGTTAAGTTTACTGTGATTGGCTGTCGAATCAGCCTTGTTCATATTTTCTCACGGCCAATATTAGTAACCTAGGCACTGACGTAGATTAATGTCTACCGATTGGCTAGCAGCCTGCACTCACCGCACACGTAGTTAGATAATAACGGCGTTGCTGAGTGATACATGTTTGGATCTCTAGAGATTGCATGAATCTCTCTTCTCGATGACAGGCATCGATAAGCAGGAAGCATAAATCCATGTCACTCTACCATTTGTAATTCATCCCAACATTTAACTGAGGAATAATAATTTGGTGCTATATATATATATATATATATATATCCGTGTCATATTGCCTAGTATAATGGCCACTTTACATAAATGGTGCTATGTACTACTGATTCATCGATTGATTGATTGCCTGATATGATATGAACTGGTAATTATTCGAAAATGGAACATTCACAGCTTTATAAACCCTGCTTTATGATACACAGAGGTGTACACCAATTATGAAAACTCTTATCGAAAGCTGTCAACTGTCCAACACTACGAATAGAGATCTAAATCCTAAGAAATTAAGTATAGCCGATTAGTTGATAAATGAAAACGTTGATCGACTCATACGACATTACTATACACACTGGGGACCATTGTTACGGCATAGAAGCGATTAACATCAGAATCTAATTCCACTAGGTACAAAAGAAAATCGTAAAGATATAAGTAAAACAGATGAATAAAAGGTAGGCGTCAATTCTGACAAATTTAAATTGTATACTTATAATTTCATTGATGATATTTTAACGATAGATGACAAGGGCCACGAAACAGATCAGTTATTGAGGAAATCAACAGATATTTATAGATTTTTATGTATGTTAGCATTAGCGTTATCGTTAGCAGAGAAGCAACGTCTTCTGACTGGTTGTTTTGTTGCTGAAGGTTATTTTGTACTGCTTATGACCGTTTCTTAGAAAGTTAAGCCACATATCTACGAGTCGTATTTGCACACGTTAAGTCTTCTGTGATTGGTTGTTGAGTTGGTTTTTGTTCTTGTGTTTTTTTCTCATGACCAAGATATGGGACGTAAACATTGACGTAAATTACTGTCTACCAGTTTTGGCTTGCAGACAGCTCTCACCACAATATTATCACGAATGAACATCTGTCAGGGGATCATTGAAAATTATTTCCTGGGACTCTTCGGAAATGAGCAGCCATAACTCTGTCGGAGGTTGGACTTGGGACATTCATGTTGCTAAGCGAATCCATTGATCATTTAAGTATGAATTCAATAACTTAACAATAAAAAGCTACCATCAATTAGTGCCACCGATGAACATCGGTCACTCCATACTACAGTATACTGTACCAGCAACGAAAGTGATAAATGGGAGAATTCATGCGTCTCGTAACCTGAAGTTTCTGGGCTAGATAACTGATGACGTCATAGGCGCACACAATTGAAGATTCTCAAACAAGGACATAACATCTGTCCACTACTTCATGATTTTTAAAGAATTTCTGACTAATGTTGGTTCGCGATTGAACCTACATTGAAGTTTGTTATTGTGTGTTCTGGTGTTATAGCTTATTCATTGGTACAATTGGTACAATCAAAATACCTGCCTAACTAGAAAGTTTGAGTTCATCTATAAATCATATGAGTACAGAATTAAGAAAAAAAAAGGTAGAAATTCTACTGACCTTTAGCAGTTTCACTTTTTCACAAGATAAGTCATCACTTTTCTCATATTTCTCATGCTTCTCTTGTAAACTTGAAGTCTGAAATAAATGTGGAATTATAAATATAAAATCTTTCATGAAACTACACTGGATGAGGACGTATTGAGGATAGACAATCGGATAAAAATGATTTACTGGTTTGCTTACAGGTTATCACTTAGAGAATCATTCGAAAACCTCGGAGTACTGGACGTCTGTTTCATCCTTGTTTGAATTTTTTACGACCATCGGGTTGGATCCCAGTGGCTTAATGTCATGCCTTATACCCGAAAATTTCTGGATTCTAACTGTCCTAGTGGGTGAGTATTGATGAATATTCTGAAACTAGGATGAAACAACTATTAGGTACTCCCAGGTTTCACAGTAATTCTCTAACTGAAGTTATTTAGTGAACAGACCTGTTAACAATCAAGTCCCTGCAAACCCAACACTTGATAGGAAAGATTAGTCAGGATTTTGGAAATCGAGGTGATGAAGAACATTGAATATACCTGTGTAATTATGAACAGTTTTCAGCCATATCATTGCGTATATAATTTATAGATCATATCAACTAGTAGAGCTTGCTAGCTTGTTTGAAGTCATCCAAACACCAGGTGACCATTTCGCTTGTTTGGAACCAACCTCATCAACTGTGTGAATTACAAATCACAAAATGATTTGCAAGTTATGGATTTAACTCAATGTATAGCCCATCTGCCGAAGTAGCTAGCCATAATTAGACTGATTCGAACTGATTCCGCACTCCGAGCTCATTCAAACTGGGTATACCACCAAACGATAGATATGGAGTGTTCAGATCACTTTGATGTAACTAGTCAGCAAGCGCTTTTGATTTAAGTAAGTGATATCCAACTAGTCATGTCAGTCAATCAGTAATATATACCATCGCAAACTAAAAGTCTTGATTGCATTGAGCATTTCATCATGAGCTGACGTCAGTTAGGGAACCACTGAAAAACCACCACTGGAGTTCTGAACAGCTGCTTCGTCACCCTAGTTTAGGACTCTTCAGCAGTACCCGCCCATCACCACGGTTCGAAACCAGGACAAGGCAAGCTCGTAGACCACTGAGCCACTTGCACCCGATCCAATGGTCCTTGAATTCTATCTTCTGCCAATTCACGACATATCGCGACCACTTCGAATTGTTTTCTTCGATGAGTTACTGCCTCATCTTCAACCTGATATCAGCTCATGATGAAATCCTCCATACAATCAAACAGAAATCCCTACAAAACCAATACTTGAAAACTAAAAGTCTTGTCAAGAAGGACAAGCCACGGAGTTCAGAAGATACAATCACATTAAAAATAAACACCCATGTGAACTACAAATTTTCTTTATTGCCTTGAAGAGTCCATGTGGGCTTTTAAAATTCAAACAAAAGGGTTGAAAAAGAAACCATGTTCGAATGACGTAATTTTGAACAAATTTCTGTCAGTAGACATTCAGTAACTCTTTTCTACATTAACGCGTCTCGTTTAGTGAATAAGAAATGGAGAATATGAAGGAAACAATCTCGGGGTATAATTAAATTCCAACATGCCCGTCCTATAGTTCCTTTTTTTCATTCTTCCAAATCCTAAGTGGAACACAGCGACTTAAGCTTTAGGATGTACAGTTTAATTAACAGTAGAATTACTTTATTATAGGGTAATGTCTATAGCCTCAGGCTCAATCTTCCTTTCCTTCTGGGGTTATTATTAACCAATAAGCTGGGTGAGAGCCAGTAGTGCTTCATCCAGGAGTCGAACCCGGACCACTTACATGAATAACGAGTATTCTATCACTAGATCACCGACACAATTCATTCATTGTTCTCTAATGAAACTTTTTATTTTTACGAGTTGATCATGGATTGATATCAACTAGAGAACCATTGAAAACCAGCTGTTTCATCCTAGTTTGGGAATCTGTTTTGAGGCAAGCTCGTAACCAGAAGGTCATGGGTTCGAACCCAATTAGGTGCGTATTGCTGATGATTCCCAAACTAGGATGAAACAGCAGCTGTCCAGAACTCCCTGGTTTTCAGTAGTTATCTAGCTGATATTAATCCATGGTCAACTCGCAAAAACAAAACTAACTCTTACAAACTAAACTATAGAAAATGAAACTTTCATTTGAAAGTAATCTTCAAATCGTCTAAATCGACCTGTAATTTTATCACCCAAGGAGTTAGAATGATTTGCATAACGCTGAACTTACTTCAGATAAGAATCCAGTTAGTATGTCAGATACGGTTGGATTATCAAGTGGATTACTGGCATAGTTTGTTGTATCATTCCAAAATTCATAAGTGATACCAGTAAAAATTAAACACCTAGAAAATATACAATAAGATGATGCTGAAAATATGGTTGTTCAGAAAACACTACTAACAAAATAGAAAGTAGTGTAGCAGGTCCAATATTTCTATGAAAAAAAATTTGAAGCTAGACTTGGAAATTGTGTCACTCACTGATGAGTGAATAATATTCAGAAACAGATGTTAGACTTCCGATTTAGAAGCTAATTTATTTAGTCCTTATTAAATTTTAATCCGATTATTTTAACAAAGTAGAATCAAGGAAGTATTTAATAAGTGAGCTTGAAGCAACACGGCAGAGTTCAACAATAGCGTTCAAGGAGTGTGAACGCACGAGTGACCCTCAGCTGATCAATCATAAAAATGAGGAATGTTTTCTGGAAAAATAATGTATATTGACAGGAAAATGCTTGAAAATGCATTAAAACGGTTATCTTTCTCTGATATGGCTTAAAAATACGTCCTAGTTATAACGAGGTGTATCAGTTGCTAAGTTAGACTAGTTTCTGTACATGCATTTGCCGAGATGACTATAGATAAACTGTTTTTGTGAATTGTTTAACTCTCTCATCCTGCTTGCAGTCTTCCAAGAAAGCCCTCGGTTGAATTATTATGGTTTCCAGTAGGAGGATAGACGACTACTTACCAGGAAAACGTGGATAATAAAAAAATAAAATAAATGACACCAACTATAAATCTATCCCTAATCGTAACCATAAGCCTATTCCTGACCCTAACACTAACCCTAACCTTAATCCTAACCCTAATCATAACCCTTATCCAAACCGTAATGAGCTACTAACACATTGTCCAAACAGTACTTAAAACGTGATATGGGTGAAATTTGCTGCTTAGTTGGTGAATAGCATTGATATTTCAGCTATGATAATGACAAATGCCGTTAGCCAACGACTAGAATGAGTTCAAGGTCATTGAAGCGTTCACACTCCTGGACGCTATTGCTAAACTTCGCCAGCAGCACTACGTTATGTACTACTGATTGACTATTTTGACTGAGTACTCTGCTATGTGGCTTGCCATCAAAGTTCCCCTCTAAACTGTTGTTAGATAGCCGGAGGAACTCGACAGGAAATCATGCTTGTTCTCACTTGTCAGTGAGGTGTATCTGTGACCTCTATGAGATTAATATTCCTTCTAAGACTCGGATCACCCAATTATATAATCACAGACGTTACCACTGAGCTACTCGGATTGGCGATTTACCGCATACAGATCTATAATGGATACTTCAACTGAATACAATCTAGTAACTGATTTTATGCGTCTGGTCGTTTGGTGCAGATTGATTGATCAATCGAAATGGTTAGTTGGATTTCTCTCATATCAACGAACAGTATTTGTTGAACAACCAGGTCAAATTAGCATAAATGCTGGAGGGACATTTCAATCTATTGAAACGGAGCTTAACTCCAGTGTACCCAGTCTGGCTCCTTTGATTTGGAGTGGAATATAGGATTTCGAAAGCACATCTAGACTTCATCTTGTTCTCAGCAATCCATTTTAGATAACTGCGCGACTGTCCATAAGCTACTGTCTGCTACCCCGAAGAATTTCTTTCATATCATACTTGGATGCCTAAACAGCCGTTTATTATTCAGATGCAATTCAAAGGCCTTCCGTGCCATTTCACTAAATGCTCTCCTCAGCATACGGACGGACGATCCATCTCCATATTCTTCTACATATTTGTTAAGAAATAGGTTCTTTTCAGGATTTCATCATGAGCTGACATTAGTTAGAGAACCATTGGAAAACCTGGGAGAACTGGACAGCTGTTTCGTCCTAGTTTGGGACTCTTCAGCAGTACGCACCCACCGAGATTCGAACCCAGGACCTTCCGGTTACAAGGCGAGCTCGTATACCATTAAGCCACTGGGACCCGATCCAATGGTCCTTGAATTCAAACTTCTGCCAATTCACGACATAGCGCGACCTCTAGCCAATGTCTTCGGTGAGTATTTGTCCTCACACCCGACCAGCTGCACCCTACTGGTCACGACTTAGGTTCTTCGTTGCGAGAGTTTCCTATTGCTTATCGTTTCTGGTCATCTGACCTTCGGTATGAAGCCAGCGAGGGCAGCTGTTGATGAAAGCGTGAAGCGTACAGCAGTACTCACTGAATTAACACTGGTTTTGGAGGTTCGAACTTTGTTCTTTATCCTTTCTGCATCAGATTTACACACTGATTTTAGAATAATGTAGGTTTGCATTGCCTTTCCGATCCATCTGGCTTTGACACCCTCATCTTTGTCGTCTGTAGTGCGAAATGATAATTTGGGTGCTTCTTCTGCCAATTTGTTGGTTTTTAGTTATAATAATGGGTGGGACGTTTGAAAATCATCTACATTCATGGAAAAATGGGTGTTTTGACAATTAGTATCTTACTAACCTTCTTTATATATGCATCATATCCTGTTCGTTCTTACTCAGTGATTAACAAGACAGTTGCAGGAAAGAAAATTTTCTTTTCGACGAAGTCATCATCTAGGCTGTACATTCGTGTATTTATATCAAATGGATGGGAAAGTTCCAGAATAATTTCCGGTTAAGGGTTAAATTAATAAAAGGTTAATATACAAAAAGCCTACATGGAATGAACAACCAATCAACTTTGAAAGCTTCGTGCCCCTAAGCAGAAAGAGGAACCTTATATACGCTCTTTCCTCGAGGATTCGGGAGATATGCAACGAGGAAGTAATTGACCAAGACTTACGTAATCTCCAAAGAACCCTGATGGAAAACGGCTTTCCACCTAAGTTCATAGACAAGAACCTCAAGGCCAAGAAGACTTCCAAACAAGTCCAATCCGTTCCAAAGAAAATACTTCTGCTTAATCTAAAATTCATAGGTCACATTGAAGCAGAAATCCTTCGTAGACGCCTCTCCAAATCTCACTACGAGCCTACGACTGACGTTTTCCTGCAAGAAACTGTTCAGCCAGAACGCGAAAGACAAGCTGTCGCATTGAACCATCTCATCGTGCATATGTAACAGTTTACTTGCACATGTGGAGCTGAGTTCATCGGCCGTACCATGCGCCATCTTGAAAAACGCTCTCGCGAACACTACCTAGCTTGACTAGTAGAAGGAGATCAAAAAACGTGTATACAGTTCAGTGACAGAACATCTAGTCATTTCAGGACATTCATCACCATTCGAAAAGTCCTTCAAAGTAGTATACAAGATTCAATCAAACCTATCAAAGGGAGTGAAATTAAGACATCTGGGCATAGCCGAGGCACTAGCCATGCAAAAGCTCAAACCCATGCTTTGTATCCAAAAGAAATACATCCAACCCCTGTCCCTGCCATGGCCATCATAAACAGGTAATTCTTCCAATAGTTACTATCCCATTGACTTTCTTATCCAAACTTTCTGTTTATTCATGTTATTTTTAAGTTTTCTTAATCCCTGTTTACACCACCATATTTTCATATTCGAACTTCGTGTTTATTTTGTCATTTTAATATTTCTGCATATTTAATCCCTGATTGCATAAATAATTATTCGTCACGTTAGTTTTTTTATCCAAACATCCTGTCTACTTTGTTATTTCTACATTTCTAACCCCTAATTGCACAATGTCAATCTTCTTAGTTATTATGATGCTACTTTGTCTGAGCTTTGTTCATCCCCCTGTTTATTATGACATTTTAATTCCTAATTGTAATTTTTATTAATTTGATCCTTAACCGGATATTATTCTGGAACTTTCCCATCCATCTGATATAAGTACACGAATGTACAGCCTAGTTGATGACTTCATCGAAAGAAAATTTTCTTCGCTGCAACTGTCTTTTTAATAACTCCTATGACCTAATGTGTATACTCAGCAATTGCTGAAGTATCCTAGAGCAGGACGCAATAAATATAGAGTACTCTTTATCTGTTTATTAGCTGGTGTAGATATGTGATATGAGCTGGTATGATTTGATTTTATTCGTTTTCTACTGAATTTACAAGTGAATAACTTGAACACTTATGGTGAGTACTCTATAATTTTTAATCGTATTCAATAACTAACACTGGCTTGTTTCATATAATCATCTCAGGCTGATCACATAAACTTCGTGATTGAATTGCCTTTACTGTTTGCTGAAGACTGGATAGCAACAAGGAGTACTCTTAGGCGATGAACCAACCAACGATTTGCTGTCCAAAACTATATGCATCAATTTCGATAATATTTTATAGAGACTTGCTCAGTGTTTAATCCCACTTACGGTTTAACTGTGATTTCGTCTGGCACTTTACTCTTAGCCAACATATACTGTGTACAGAATAACAATGTACCCGCAGTTAAACTTCACTCTAAGCCAATAATCTTGTTAAGGTTTATCTATGATTCTTAAATACATGAAATTACCTTAATTTCTGATAATCTGACTGGTTGCAATTGTCACTTTTGTTCTATATTAGTAGTAACCTTACAGCCACCAAATAACAACTAAACAGTGCTCGTCCCTGGATAAGTTTGTACGTTAAACAATGCCACCCTAATTCTTGCCTTATTCAGAACCACATTTAGGGTTTCAGATGTCCCCTTAACACATATGGTAAAACTGCATGTGCCTTAAATTATCTCTTAATAATAATAATAATAATCTACTTTATTCCAAAAACAGTTCTTGTGGTACAGAATGGAATTTTCAGCATTAATCACATTATTACATCTAATTTCCTCAAATTATAAATAAAAATTAATCACACAGAAAATTTTCCACATTTACAATAGAGGTTATATTAAAAACATGCAGCATATAGAATGGAAATAATAATAATGATAACACCTAGGGTAATAATAATAATAATACAAGTAAAATTTACTGTGGGCTTGTTTCACACAGTATTGGCAATGTGGTATATAAATCCTAACATGCTTAAAAATATTGAATATAATGTTCTCTTTACATGATATGGTGAGGGGAAAAACAAAGATTACAGCAGTCATGGAGATAGGTTGGTGTTGTGATCGTACTTAGTAGTCCCATTACTGTGAATTATTCTGACCTTCCCAATGAATTCTACGAGATAGTTTATCTAGTACTAATGCCTTCTCTATTCCTTTCGTTTCATTATTTAGGATTTCTGACATACCACTTACAGTCTTCGCTCAGTATGCTAGAGACTTGACTCAGCCTGTCTTGACGGATAACTTACAGCCTAAATGTTTACAAGGTTGAGCTGGTATTTTGTAAACACCGATACATAATTAATTTAATTAACAGTTCTCCTTGTTCATTTTCCCTCTAATATTGAGTTTATATTTGTATGTAAAGAAACTAGATACATGTTCCGATTTTAATACAGTGAAATTGTTACACAAACTTTCCACCATGCCGTTTGAGAGATGATTAATTATTCCAAGAGCCATATTTTCTATAAAGACATCTACTATGAATGGAGATATCGGTAACGCCATTGCTACCCTTTCTGCTTGGTGGACGTGAGGTACAATTTAATCCCTGGAATAACAGTAATAAAAATAAGCTTCAAACTAAGGAGAAATAAATGCTTAAACACCCTTTCATTTTCAGTTATTATAAGGAGTTATGGAAAGCTATCTGCGAAGAGAATGCTAATTTAAATAAAGACTTACACGTTTATATTTATGCGTGATGACCAATCGTATAACTGAGTCAGTGATTCAATTACTTTACTTTTTGCCAGATCCGTTTTACAGAAATGATTCTCTTTATAGTCACATACAATTTGTAAAGAAAAAATCTGCCAATGTTATGGGAAAGTAAAAAGGAGATAGACTAATTGCAAATTGGTAAAATAACTTTAGGAATTTGTGAATAAATACAGTGAGTAATCATACCTAAATAGGGTATTCAAAAAAGGGATTACTGCTAGGTGATATCATTTTGGTGTATTATTATTATTATTTGTAATTATTATTTCCTTTAATTCCTAGAGGAAAATAAGGCTTCAGCCACACGTCTTCATTGCGTTCGGTTCTCTGGTAATCTTTTCACCTGGCTCCAAGTCTTCCCACATGCTTTCATCTCCTCTTCATATGACCTCCTCCAAGTCAACCTTGCACTAACAACCAACTCGTCGCTTCCCTTTCGGGTTCCACTCGACGGCTTGTCTAGTGATGTCACTTACTGGTTTCCTCAGAGTATGGCCAATGCACCTCCATCCATTCCTGCATATTTGTTGTACAATAGGTTCCTGGTTGGTTCGCTCTTTGCCAGAGATCCCTGTTTCTGATCTTTCCTGGCCGGCCATCTGATCTTGATTATTGGCCAAAGACAGATGTTGATGAAGGTCTGTAGTTTGTTTGAAGTGGCCTTCGTCACCCGCCGGCCAAGTCTCCAATCCGTATAGTAGCATTGTCTGACTTCACATTGGATTTGAGAATCCGGACCTTATTTTCATTTTCATGCTGAGTGCTGTTGACCTCCACACAGACTTGAGAGTAATGAAAGCTTGTCTTGCTTTTCCGATTCTGGCTTTGATATCCTCGTTAGTTCCGCCCGTAGTTGAAACAATGCTCCCAGGTCGGTAGGTAAAGGAGGTTGTTTCTTTTAGGTTCCTCCCATTTATGCTGATTGTTGTCTATTGTTGTTGCTGCTGTAGGTGTTACCCAGGAATCTTCATCACCTCTGTTTACTCTATGTTCACCTGAAGTCCTATCATATCTGGATGCTTCTTCTGCCAACTTGTTTCTTTTCACTTGCATGTCTTCCAGTTTGTGGGAAATCAGACATATATATGTTATCGGCGGAGTCCTGATCCTCCAAGTTTTTCGTTAGGGTCTATTTTATGCCTGTTTCCTCATTACCCGCTATGTGTCGCATTATCCAATCTAGTGCAATCAGGAAAATCATTGGAGATAGTAGGCAGTCAACTTGTCTTACTCTCGTCTTTACTTTGAAGGATTCCGTAAGTTTCCCGTTGTAAATTACTTGGCAGTTTTAGTGTATGGTGACTAGCAATGGAATCCAGGAAGTGCATTTCATCATTCTTGACACTCATCATCCGGATGTGACTTGTTATGTACTTGTCGCCCATTTATATGATGTCTTTGCCAAGTGATATGGCTGAGTGGACTTATTCGTGAGCATAATAATACTGTGTGTGATGGACAACTGAACTGATACGCTGAATACGCCTGTTCTTCCGTAGTACCTTTCTCTTCACTGAGCCACGTAAATGTCAAAAGGAAAAGACTGGCCTGTGACTGTTAGGATACGAATGTAGAAGAAAATTCCACTAAACTACTAGATCCAACATCCACGAAATTACTTGACGTTAATTCTCAGAAAATGTCGATGTATCTGTACAGGAAGCTGATTTGACAGCAGAGGACGAACATTTTGGTCCAGTCAATCAACGGGAAAATTAGAATTTTTGATTTTTTTTATTACAGCTTGACTCCAACAGCACTTTTTGGTACAGGTATGGAATTTTCAGCATGTCATATCGGTTGCCCAAATTTTGCCGGCCGACCATAGATATCAGGTGTGCGTCTATAGGGGATCGAACCCCGGACCATGTGCATGGTCAACGAACGTCCTAACCACTGTTCCACCGACGCACAAACAAGTAATGAAATCATGCTGTATTTTCGTTTTTACATTTGCATCTGCGGAAGATGATGAAAGCACTTTGCTGAAGCATAAATTAACCATTAGCAGTAACAGTGTGTTGTTCTATAGTAGGAACTGGCAAACTACTAACGTAAATGCTCATCAGTTATTCATTTCAGGCCTTCCAAGTGAAACACAGGACTTCAAGCTTTGAATCTCAAGTTGCTGTACTGTTGTTTGTTTTTACGAGGTACGTTCACCACATTCATACCCAGGTCGACTACCAGCCAGGTGATGTTTACAAATGCTCTGAATCCCTTGAGTGATTGGGGAAGATTTTATTACTGAACCAATAGGTCAATTAAATAGCTGACCATAGAAAACACCGCCTGTACCATGTTTCACTTCGTCAAATAGTGGTACCTCCGAAGAAACACATGTGTTCGGCAAGCAATCAAGGAAATATTGTGACACACGAGATAAGCAAGTGGCGTGAGTGTACAGAAAGACTACTTTTCTCATAACGGCTTGTGTGGAATGCTAGTCCCAAAAATCGTGATTTCCACCCACGGATTTGTGGGTTGTGGACCTAGTATGCTTCCCCTGCACCAATGTGCTCACTAGTATCATTAATAGTTTCCGATATATATGTATATATTATTGTTTCCTTTAATTCCTAGAGGAACATAGGACTTCAGCCAAACGTCTTCATTGCGTTCGGTTCTCTGTTAACGTTTTCACCTGACTCCAAGTCTGCTCAAATGCTTTCATCTCCTCTTCACATGACTCCTCCATGTCACCCTCGCAATGACAACCAACTCACAGCTTCCATTTCGGGCTCCACTCCAGCGATGGCCTAGAGTGTCATGTCACTTGGTGGTTTTCTCAGAGTATGACGAATCCACCTTCATTTCTTCCCGCATATTTCTTTCACAGTCGGTTCCTGGTTTGCCCATTGCCAGAGATCCTGTTGATGATCTTTTCTGACCGGACATCTGATCTTGAGTAGTATTGAGCGAAGACAGCTGTTGACGAAGGTCTGAAGTCTGTCCGAAGTGGCCTTCGTGACGCGCTTGCCAAGTTTCTGATCCGTATAGTAGCACTGATTGACTTCATACTGGAGTTGGAAATCCGGACCTTGTTTTCATTTTCATGCTGAGTGCTGCTGATCTTCACACATACTTGAGAGTATAGAAAGCAGGTAGTCTTTCTTGGAATCCACAGCTACCTTGTCCTCTTTCTATACCTTCTACGGTAGTAGTGTCATCAAGTCCGCTGACGTCTCTGGGTCCATTTCCAATGCTCACTGGGATTCCGTCTGATCCTGCTGCTTTTCCAATTTTTAGCATCTGGATTACCCTCAGGACTTCTGTTCTCGTCGGGGGGTTGATGTTCACTGGTAGTTCTACTTCCGTTGTTGATATTGTTGGGCACAGTAATATATATATATATATCTTACTGCAATCAAGGTTCAACTTATAAAAAATAAGAAGTCAATTCTCGACCAAGAGTGATATTCACTAAAACGTTACCATAAGGAAAGGCCATATAATATAAGGCGCCTCAAACAAAACAATGATCACAATTATTCAGAGTAAAGCACTTTGTATTATAATGACAACAATTCGAAAAGACATCTAGTAAACACCTGTTCATCAAATGAAAACTGCTCTCACACTACTGAGGGGATAAGGTCTATTTCAACAGGATAAAAGTAAATAGAGATTTGAAATGTGCCTATATTACATGAATACTGGTTTGATCATGATCTGACATCATTAGGGAAGTATTGAAAAACCTAGGAGTATTGGAGAGCGTTTCGTTCTAGAATGGCACTCTTTGGTAATACACATCCACTGGAGTTCTAACCCGGGATCTTTCGACCACGAGGCAAGCCCATAGACCATTCAGCCATTGGAATCCTACATGTTGGATCCAACTGGTCACAACTTATCACTAGAGCTCATGTAATTTAGCTGCAAAGCCTGTCACTAGTGAGCATCAGATTAATATTCAAGAGTTAATGTATAGGGATTTGATTTGCTCAAAGTCTAATCATGTGCTGGCATCAATTAGAGAACAATTGAAAATGCAGGTAGCTCTGCCAGTTCACGGTATACAGCAGAAATAACTAACTATCTATTACTGCCTGGTTTCCAATGTTTCTCTCGTGAATAAACTTGAAACCAATAGAATCCCTACAAACGAACTGTTGAAAATATCATTCACAGTAAAGTATTCTCGTAACTTTTATAAACTGGAGTCTTCTGTCACTTCTTTGCTTTCCGAATGGAACATAAGACTTCGAAGTTGAGCTTTATATTTATAGTAGTAGTGATGTCTTTTACACAGTGGGATTGTTATCCTCAGTCTTAAACTTCCGTCTTAAACGAATTTACTACCAGCTAAGAGAGGCTTGCAGAATGCATCGACTGGGAATCGGACTCAAACTGTGTGGTGTGTTGGGTGAATATTCTGCCAGTGAACTACTGACTGCCTGTGAACTAAAGGATAAACTGTTAAATGGTTATGAACTTACCCAAGGTTTATTTGGCTGTAATACGTCTAGTACATCAAAAGCCTCCTTCGAAAATATTGGTCCTGCTGTTAAACAGAATAGAAGAAGTAACAATAGTATTTAAATTACAGTGGAATATATATATGTATATAATATTTAAATGGGAAATAATTCATCTACTCTTGTGTAAGTAAGTTATGTAGACAGTGGTTATGGAATCTATCAAAATGGCAAAATAAAGATGCCATAGATAAGTGTTGAAAGCCTTATTACAGAAGTATATAAATTGAATATAATTTAAGTATTGGTTTGTATAGATTTGATTGATTGGTTAAAGGATTTCATCATGAGCTGACATCAGTTAGAGAACCACTGGAAAACCTGGGAGTACTGACAGCTGTTTAATCAGCCTACTTTAGGACTCTTCATCAGGACGCACCCACCGCCAGGGTTCGAAAACAGGACCTTCTGGTCATAAAATGAACTAGTTCATAGTCCATTATGCCATTGGGACCCGATCCAATGACCGGCCCATGAATTCTAACTTCTGCGAATTCGCGACATGGCCTTGTAACGAGAAGATCCTAGGTTCGAACCGCGGCGGCGGGTGAGTACTGATGAAAAGTCCCAAACTAGGTTGACGAGACAGCTATCCAGTACTCCAGTGGGGGGGGAAGGGTTCCGATAGTTCTCTAACCAACGTCAGCTCATGGTAAAATCCTGTAAATGTAATTTATTCAGTCATCTGTAAGCCATATACTCAACAATGAGTCAGCCAGTCAGGTCATTAAAATGCAAAAGACTTCATGAATATCAAATGACAATAGAAGATGTGGTGCTTCAACTTTCACTGTGAATATACATATATATTGTTATTTTTTGATGTACAAACTTAAGGTCAGGAAGAAAACTTCTAAAAGCCTAGTTTTTACACAACACAGACCCCATCTACAATCAATTCAGGAAGAAAAGCAACATCATTCTCCAGCTAACTAAGTGAAGGAAAATCAATAGAACAAATAAAATAATGAAGTACAACTAAGACGATTAGCTATTACGTGAATAAGTCATTAGGTTACAAGGTAAAAACAAAATCTGTTCCCTTGATTCAGCAGAATTGAACAAAGAGAAGAAATAGGGAACTTTATTGTTCATACAACTTGGAAATACATTTGATTTCTTAATAAAACCACTGTTGAAGATGTTACCAGGTTTGATGATAAAACGTTCATGGTTAGATATCAAAATTGGGAGAACATCACACAATTCACATAGTTATGTAATGTCACAAGAGTGTATTGCATGTAAAGACGTATCTGTACATGATGAACAGAAACTGCGTAATCTTCAATAAAATATTGATGGACTGTAATAGTTTTAGTGAATGGTAACATATTTTATGATTGAATTATTGACTACATGAAAGATTTATCAATGAACTCGTATTCTAGAGCAATTTAAGTTGGCATAGGTGAAATTTACATTTTTAGCATCTCAGAGAAATTGAAATATCAAGTATAGGTTTGCAAGGATTTGATTGGCTACAAGTTTGATCATGAGTTGATATCATTGATATCACTGAAAAATCTGGGGGTACTAAACAGCTGTTTTGGCCTAGTTTGAAATTCTTCATCAGTACGCATCCACTGGGGTTCGAATCCACGAACTTCAGGTTACAAGGCGAGCTTTTGCAAACCAATACTTGATAAATAATTTGATGTGCACTTGCGACTATCTCTATACAGTGAGTTACCTGGAGTTCAAGTGAGAAGTCGTAACGAGCAGGGTCCAGTATTTCAGGTTAGAGAACGGTTACTCGCCTTTGACATTGTCCAGCAGTTATGCCGTATTATTCGTGAATTGGCAGAAGTTACAATTCATGGGCTGTTGGATCGGGTCCCAGTAGCTGAAGAGTCTACGAGCTCACCTTGTAACCGGAAGGTTTCGAGCCAAAACTCCGTAGGGGTGTACCTTTTTTATTATAGCTTGACTCCACACGGTATTTTTGGTCTGAGTATGGAATTTTCAGCATATGCTAGCAGTAGCCCAAATTTTGCAGGCCGACCATTGATATCAGTGTGCGTTGGCAGGGGATCGAATCCCGGACCTTGTGCATGGTCGGTGAGAGTCATAACCACTGTGCTACTGACGCACTTCTGAAGAAAACGAAGTAAATAATTCCAAAATAATGTTCAGTAAGCTGGTCCGAATTTGTTCAGGGATTAAATCAAATTAAAATAATAATCGTAATATAAATCTTTGTCCAATCATGGGAGTAATGAACAAGTATCAAAACAACATTGCATAAACTGTAATCAGTCAGTTTGAACGCAAACTTCTTTTTATTATTATCAGTCTACTTTTGTTGCACAATGCAAACAGTGTGTACTTTTACATCAGACTTAAATGATCACGTTCAACTGAAGTTCATGGTCATATATAATTGAATATGAAAATATATATGTATTCTATACACAATGGTGTGTATGTGTGCTTGGAGGAACAATTGTAAATCATTTGTTAGCCTCTCTTACAAGAAGATATAATCAGCCGGGAAAATAGATTAGGCATGGGTAATTAGTGGTACATATCCATCTTATTTATTTTAGTCAGCACGTGCCATGTATCAGCTAACGTCACGTCAAGCTTCAGGATTAACCCATATATGTGGGGCTTCTGCAGCCAGTCCCTCTTTATATGAACCAAATTGTTTCTTTGGAACTTTGGTTCTGTTGATACAAAGTGATTAGAGGCAATCGGCAGAAAGCCTTGAACCTTTGTTTTGTGCTAGCTGGCATTCGTAAGCAAGACGTATCTGTAGCCTTAAAGGGACTCATGTCCCTTCTAAGATTCGAACCCGCATCACCCAGTCCTCCCTGCAGTCAGGAACGTTACCACTGAGCTATTCGGGCTCGCCTTTGATCTCCTGTAGGACTGTATTGGATACTTTGATTGGACTCTAGTAACTAGTGTGATGTGCCTAGTCCTTGTTGTTTGGGGCAGACTGAATTCTGTCAGTCAGGTTTGCAATGTAGCCACCATTCCAGGTAGCTTGCCATCACGGTGCACACTGATGTGATGGTATTAGATAATTCGAGGCAATCGAGAGGAAGCCTTGATAGACTGGTAGTACCAAGCTGGAACAAACAAAAGACCACACACATCAAAGGAAACTTGGTTCTCTAAGGTTGGTCTGTAAGGATTAGTTCTGTTTTTACGGGTTGATCGCTGATTGATACCAGTTAGAGGACTATTGAAAAACCAGAAGGGAGTACTGTACAGCTGTTTCCGCCGTCCTAGTATGGGACTCATTGGCAGTGCGTATCCACTGGGATTCGAACCCAGGACCTTCCGGTTACAAGGCAAGCTGGCTCGTATGCCATTCAGCCACTGGGACCCTATTCAATGGCCAAACCGTGAGTGCTGACTTCTACCAATTCGTAATTTAGCGCGACAACCAATTTCGTCGGTGGGAGATCCATCCTCACACTTCAGTGGATGGACCTCACTGGTCACAATGTCTCACTGATATCAATCCGATGCATCTCAAACTAGGATGGGGGAAACAGCTTTCCAGTACTCCATTTCTGGTTTTCAGTGGTTCTCTAACTGATATCAATCCGTGAACAACTCGTAGTAACTTGGTTCTGTTAAAGTCGATCTTTCATCCCATTTCTATATAGTCTGTTGCAATCTCTGAACTGTTTTCTAGCTTCTTCATACCCAAAGTGGTCTTTGATACTACCTTTAGGCTCTTTAACATTTACATTCACCTATCTGATTGTTTCTTATAAATATACAGGATCACAATCCCCACAATTTATGTGGCACATGCAGTTTTGTTGATTGCTTTCTTTTAACATTTCCTTAATCTTCACCAGTAATGATCGTGAGGTGTTATTTGCATGGAAATGCACTCTTATGCCATGACTGTTAAGAATTCACCTTTCTTCATCTGATGTTTTGCAGCAATATAGACTCATCAAAGTAGCGACCGATTTCTTAGCAGTGGTTTGCGATACATCCTTATCTTCATTTTTTAAATATTTTCTAATAAAGGCCTTCGGGTGCGTATTTGTTTTATGAGTAGGCAGAAATAATTTTAATTCCTTGTTGTTGGTCTCTTCTTCCTGAATAACTAGACATTTGGTTCTGTTAGTCAGATTCGTAGCTACATTCACCTTGGTGGTAGAGGGATATGCCAAACTCTAATCCAGGTACTTGCCCGAATGTTTAAGCCTTCTGAAGATGGTGGTATCTGGTTTACCATCTAGTTGTCTTTTGACCAAATAATCCAAAAAAGTCAAATCATTTGCGTTGGATTCAGTCCCTCTTCAAAGCTTAATAACGTCTGACACACTGTTTATCAAGTGAAAAATTCATTCGAAATAGTGTGTTTGATGACAACAAAGTTAGCCGTAATTTTGTAGGATTAAGTCGTTTCATGGTTGCATTTATTTCTAATGAGTCATAAACTGGTTGGCGACTAAAGGAGATACTGACGATTGCATAGCGATCCTGTTTGAAGGTGAAGAACCTCACTAAATGTAGATAACTTGGAGAGTATACATAGCTCCAATGCCTTCATAATTTCATCCTGGTTTGAATGGCATCGAATGCTGAGTTCGTTGTCAGAATGAAGTAAATTATACATAATACTTAAATAATCTTCAATGGAACTATTCGGGAATAATGAATAAACACTGACACTTGTAATTATTTCATCTTCTTCAGTATAAATAAAGGTAATTTTGCCCCTAAATTCATACGAATTCTTCACTGCGTATCCCACTTTCTTTTCGTATCAACTTAGTATTCGTGAAATGTATATGGAGAGTTTTTAATTTGGAGAATAAGTAAAATCCACGTAATAAAACATCTGGTTTGTGTATTTTTCGTAATCAATAAAATTAATGAAAACAAAACACGTAGATCAGCGAAGAGTCTCTTTTCGGCGAATTCATTTCTTAGCTGTACAATCGCAAATAAATATTTGTGTTAATTTATATGTATGTGTACATTGAGTTTGTCAAACAAACATACAATTGGTTATGGTTATCTTAACCTCAGTCGTTCGATGCGCAACCTGTCCAAGAGGATTCAAGAACACTATCCAGCATGGTTGCAAAAAGCAATAGTGGTGCAATAAGGAGTGCGATAATTGAACACCTGGTTAACACTGATCATTCATTTCACAAATGCCTCCTTCAAAGTAATCTACAGAGTCAAGAACAACCTACCAAAGACAACACGGTTTTGTCTTCTTTGTATCGCTGAAGCTCTGGCCTTTCACATAGAAAAACCGGAGCTGTGCATACAAAAGAAAATTACTCAACCATTTCTACTGTCATGTTAACAACTTTTTTGATTTTGATGACTTAATTTTGTTTGTTTGCCTGTTCTTTAATTGCTTATAATTCTTGTATTCATTTAGAACGCTTACATAATTTCGTATTATCTACTTTGTTTCTATGTGTATCCTGAGTAAAACTCACTCATCAAACTATTCATATTATTACATAACTTCTTTTTAACAACTATTTGTGACAACTCATCACCTTTGTTGCTACCATAATTTCATTAACACCTACTTTTCTTGATTGATTGTGTATTACGTAACTCCAGCAACCAATCTTCACCTGTTTAGTTAAAATAACCATAACCAATTGTAATTTTGTTTGACAAACCTAATGTACACATACATACAAAATAACAGATATATATTTGTGATTGTACAGCTAAGAAAATGAATTCGCCGAAAAGAGACTCTTCGCTGATTGACGTGTTTTGTTGTCATTAACGCCTGGATGAGGATAATCCATGAAAAGCAATAAAATTGTTAATGTATATATTTCGACTTGGTCATCCTTATTATAATCAAGTTAGATTACTGTATTATCACAAATATTCAGAATTGGTGGGTTACTGTGATCCCGCAAATAAGTGAATAAGTGTTTATCTTGTAACCTGAAGGTCAAAGTTTCGATCCCTAATGGAAGTGGGTTATGGGTGCAGACTGTTGAGAAGTCCAAAACCAGGGCGACAGAAACAGCTTTTCTAATGGTACGCCTACTGAAATTAGACCGCAATCAAACTTCAGGTGAATCAAATCCCTGAAAACCAATATTTGAAGCTTCATTCATTCACACACACGCACTTTAACTCAGTCCAACATAAGAGGCTGTATAATGCTTGATTATTATTATTGTTCCCTTGGGTTGTTAGTGGAACATAGGGCTTCAACTACACGCCTCCACTTGCTTCTGTCTTCTCCTGTACTTTTCACCTGCATCCATGTTAGTCCATACTGTTTCAACTACTCTTCACACGATCTCCTCCATGTCACCCTGCACTGACGTCCCACTCGCCGCTTCCCTTTCGGCCTAGTTCCACTCGAGGGCCTCACGCGCAAAGTCACTCAGCGGTCTCCTCAGCAAGTGTCCAATCCATCTCCACTTTCTCCTGCATATCTGTTGGTTGGCGATTGGTTCTTGTTTTGTATGTTTGTTCCCATAGTTTCTTGTTGGTGATTCTTTCCAGCCCGGCCATCTGATCTTCAGTATAGATCCAGCGAAGACAGTTGTTGATAAGGCGCTGCAACAGGCTGTTGGAAATATTCTTTCTGAACCCCCTACCTAGTTTCTGATCCGTACAGAAGAACTGACTGACTTGACGTTTGTATTGAAAATCCTACCGAATTTTGTTGTTGATGCTGGCTGAGTGACGAAGATTTCTAGATTGGTTTCAAGTTGATTGATGAATGTGTTTCTCGCCTTTCCGATTCTCGCTTGATTTGACATCCTTGTCCGTTCTTTCTGTAGTTGAGACAATGCTCCTTAGATAAGTGAATGAAGTGACCTCTTTCAAATCCCTCCCGTTGATGGTGATTGACGCTGGATGTTGCTGCTGCTGTTGTTGTTGGTTGGTTGGTTATTTTCATAACCTCCGTCTTGCCTATGTTCACCTGGAGTCCTGTCTTCGCCGGCTGCTTCTTCGACCAGTTTGTCGGTTTTCGCTTGTAAGTCTTCGATTTTGTGTGACATCAAACATAAATTATCCACGCGCGAAATCCAGGTCTTCTAGGTTCTTCACATCGGTCCAGGACATCCCCGTATAATGCTTTAGGCGTCTTTTGATGTTGTACAAATGAAACTTTGTATCGAAAACGAAATATTTCCCTTTAACATCCTCAGAGAAAATGACAAGTGTCAAGGGTGATTTCAACACAATCTTACATTAAATGCAGTTCCATTGAAAATCATGAAACACTGAGAACACTTGCTTGGATTTTAATTGTGTGACTCTTCAAAACACGGTAGGCTCAAAACTCAATGATTATAACAAGAGGTCCACTTAGGAATGTGAGGTTCAGATAAAAGCTCATCATTAATCAGTCACTTTTGGATTATCCATAAGTTCAACTCTTATAATTTTCCGACATAGCGCGACCCCTATCCAATGTCTTCGGCGAGTATTTGTCGTCACTCCCGACCTGCTGCACCCTACTGGTCACGACTTCTCACTAGAAAGCCAGGTGACTACCTTCTTGAATAGGGCAAGTCGCAGCAGGTCGGGTGTGAGGACAAATACTCGCCGAAGACATTGCCTAGAGGTCGCGCTATATCGTGAATTGGTAGGAGTTAGAATTCATGGGTCGGTCATTGGAGCGGGTCCCAGTAGCTTAGTGGTCTACGAGCTAGCTCACCTTGTGAGCAGGAGGTCTTGGGTTCAAACCGTTGTGGTGGGTGTGTACTGATGAAGAGTGCCAAACTAGTCTGACGAAACAGCTGTCCAGTACTCCAGTGGTGGTTTTCCAATTGTTCTCTAACTAATGTCAGCTCATGATAAAATCCTGTAACCAATCAAATCCTTACGAACCAACTCTTGTAGTTTTAGTTGTCAAACCATAGAAAACTATATGGGAGTACTGGACAGTTCGCGACTCTTCGGCGGTACGAACCGATCGTTCCAGCTCTAAGGACTGAACCTAGAGTGTTGATGGTTACAATTTGAGCTCATTGACCATTCAGTTACTTGGAATTTCTAACTTCTGCGGACTCGCGATCTATGGCACAAACGGTGAATACCTGTTCTCATACCCAACTTGGCGGACTCCACTGATCATTTCTTGCACTAGACCTTCAAGCAACTTCATCCAGTAGTCAGTTACTAGTGAGCGCTTGATTGGTTTTCAAGTATTGGTTTCCGGAGATATGTGATAATTTGATTCCGATTGATCCTCTGGATGATATTAGTTTATGAAAAAAAGAAATCTGTCTTAATAATGAATTACTCATAAAATGAATTCAGGAATAGGGAGTCACAATCATAATGAATAGCTACGAATAACTAGCAGTTTAATAAAACTCACATGTGGTTTTCCAATCTGCGAAGTATGTCATAAGTATTCCATCATACGGTAAATTGTCTTGTTTATCAAGTACAGACCAGTAGTCATCTGATGTTGATATTATTACAGATTCGCCTAAATGCAGTCGAACTTGATCTCTTAGAAACAATAAATACTGTGGATCGTATTCATCATATGCACCATAGTTTTCTTCTATCTGTATAAACAAAAACATTATTATGCATAATATTAAAGTTCAAGTATTGATTTTGAAGTAACTTTGTTTGATTGCAAGGAGGATTTCATCATGAGCTGACATCAGGTTAAAGATGAGGCAGTTGCTCATCGTAGAAGACATTGCGAAATGGTAGCGCTATGTCGCGAATTTTCAGAAGTTAGAATTCATCGGCCGGTTATTGCATCGGGTCCCAGTGGCTTAGCGGTCTACGAGCTAACTCACCTTGTAACCAGAGGTCCTGGGTTAGAACCGTTTCGGCGGGTGTGTACTGCTGAAGAGTAGCAAACTAGGAGGAAACAGCTGTGCAGTAATGTCAGCTTGTTTTCCGGTGGTTCTGTAACTGATGTCAGCTCATGATGAAATCCTCGATGCAATAATATTAATTCACATGTAAATGATATTTATGCGTATTGAGTTTTTTAATTCTCTCTCAATCAGAATAGAAAATCGGGGAGTTCAAGCTTTCGTCTTTGAAGTTTCAGCAACGATGATGTTGATTTTACGAAATGGAGTATCTAGCCTCACACCCAACCTTCCCTAGTTGCTGAGTTTACTATCGGCTTAGCCAGTCGGTTAAGAAATCGAACTCAGACCACATGTGGGACTGTTGAACATTCTATTGATGCAACGCCGAAACACCAGATCACAATACTTCCTAATTATTCAATATTTTACCAATGAGAAAAATGCCTCTAGATATCTCGTTTCGATACTAAGATTTTTCGATCACGTATGTTTTAGTGCTGATTCAGTAAACAAGAGATTCATCCCATTAGCCACTTCTTTTCGACTTAATTTTACTTACATGGAGGATTTCATCATGAGCTGACATCGGTTAGAGAACCATTGGAAAACCAGCTAGGAGTATTGGACAGCCGTTTCGTCAGACTAGTTTGGCACCCTTCAGTAGTACACACCCACCAGGATTCGAACTCACGACTTCTGGTTACAAAGTGAGCTAGCTCGTAGACCATTAAGACACTAGTACCCGATCCAATGGTCCTTGAATACTAGCTTCTGCCAATTCACGACATAGTGCGACGATTTCGCAAATTCTTCTTCGATCAGTTACTGCCTCATCTTCAACCTGCTGTATCCTACTGGTCACGGCTTCCCAGTATAACCCCAGGTCACCGCCTGAATAAGGCCAGTCGCTAGTGAGCGTACTGATGAATAGTTCCAAACTGGGACGAAACAGCTGTCCAGTATTCCCAGCTGGTTTTCAGTGATTTTCTAACTGATATCAGCTCATGATGAAATCCTCCATCTAATCAAACAAAATCCCTACAAAGCCAATACTTGAAAATTAATTTTACTTAATTTCTAAAAAACTTTCTAATTCTGGTAAATAATCAGAAAATTCGTTCGTATTTCTCAATTTCTAGTCTCGTTAGGACTCCACAGTGTTGAGCTAAATTGGCCATAAGCTTCGTTAACGTAACTGATATAACAGGGAAAGAAGGCAAGTAAGGGAATTCTTAAAGTTTAATAATAGTAAATGTAAAGTCAGCGTTTTTGTATGATTCACAGATTCGCATCATCTTAATCATTTTGGACGACCTGTTGCAAACTTCCATCAGCATCTGCCTTTGCTAGTTCAACACCGAAAATTAGAAAGCCTGCTGAATCAGGTTTAAGAGTGTGTCTGCGAGGAATCGAATCTTTGACCACATGCGTGGCTGATGACTATCCTACCACTCTCATCTGACTACTAATATTAATGTTAATGCGTCGGTGGCACAGTGGTTAGGACTCTCGCCGACCATGTACATGGTCCGGGGTTCGAGCCCGCACCGACGCACAGCTGATATCTATGGTTGGCCTGCGAAATTTGGGCTACCGATATCCATGCTGAAAATTCCATACTTGTACCAAAAATACGGTGTGGAATCAAGCTGTAAATCAAAAAAAAAAGTAGTATAGTGCAGTGTTATGTAAATTTTTTTAGTTTAGTATCAGTGTTGAACCACTGGTCGACAGATTTTAGGATCCAATAGCTACAACAGTGGACATTACACGGATGATTACCATTTGCCTCTTTCATAAATAAGTATAGGTCGAGTAATATTTAAGTAGATGGAATGATACTCCAAGAATTTAATAGTATGGAATCAGCTGGATAGGGTTGTACATCAGTGAATCTAGTTAGTAAAGTACTTAATTCCAGTCCAGTCCAGATGTGATGTCAATTTCATTTTTGAGTGATTAAATGTATTTGTGAGTTAGTCATTTGGTTAGTTATATTTGATCCATATGAGCAAACTAAGGAAGTTTAAAGACAAGTACAAATTACTATAAATGTTAATCAAGAATGCCAGCCTAAATCTATCATGATATATACTAGCGGTCGATAGATATGAGTCGTTGAATACCTCCCACATTAAGCCGAATTCGGGTAGTTTAAACTAATTCGGCTCCTTGAGGTGATTCAAACCAGGTATTCTGTTGAGGAGCTCAGCCTCAGAACGAGTCATATCTGCCATCAGGTGTCTAGATCACCTCTATCTGGCTGTCCATCAGGCACTACTGGTAGATGTAGATGGTAATCATTACTCATATTACTCAATCAGTAATATATAGTATCATAAAGTGATGGTTGGTTTCTTTGTTATCTAGAAGAAGCGGATCGTTTTTCTCATCGTAACTAGCTGAAAGTATCACTTTGTACAAAGAATACTCCTTCAGATTAGTTAGTTCACTGTCGTGCCAGCGTCTTCGGAAGTCACTTGCCTAAGACTTGCCATGATGCGGTCTTTCATTTTAACCGACGTACTTTCCGCCTATCGAGTTTATTAATTTAAAACCAGATTTCATTGTCAATTAACGCTGACTGGAGAATCATTAATAAACCTTGGGTATTTGACATCTGTTTCAACCTAGGTTGGGTATTACTGAATAATTCGAAGCTAGGACGACTGATATCGATCACTTCATGACAGTATCTATCTTGATTCACCATATCTCAGTAGGTTGTTATTCTTATTATTGTTGCCTTGGGTTCTGAGTGGAACAAAGGGCTTCAACAAGACATCTCCACTTTCTTCGATTTTCTGCTGTCCCCTTCATCTGGATCCACGGTTGTTCATAACCTCTAATTTTTTTTGGTTACAGCTTGATTCCACACCGTATTTTTGGTACAAGTGTGGAATTTTCAGCGTGGATATCAGTAGCCCAAAATTCGCAGGCCAACTATAGATATCAGGTGTGCGTCGGCGTGGGCTCGAACCCCGGACCATGTGCATGGTCGGCGAGAGTCCTAACCACTGTGCCACCGACGCAGTACCCCTCCTCGTACCCTCTCATCCATATCGCTCTCGCACTCACGACCTACTCGTTACTTCACATTTGGATTCCACTCGAGAAATGGCATGCATTGCGCGAGTTGTCATTAGACGGCCTTCTCAGTGGCGTATACTCGATCCACCTCTACTTTCTCACACGTATTTGTTGAGCAATCAGTTCTTGGTTGGTTGGTTGCCAGAGTTTCTTGTTACTAATTCTTTATGGCTGGACAGCCTTTTGATCTTCAGTATGGATCCATCGAATTGGGCAGCTGCTGATAAAACACTGAAGTATCTTGTTGAAAATGCTTTTTGTGACACCACAACCAAGTTTCTGACCGGTACAGAAGCGGTGACCGACTTGGTGTTGAGAATCGGAATATTGTTCTTTATGCTGGCTGACTGAGTGCAGAAGATTCCCAAAATGGCTAACTTTGACATCTAAATCCGTTCCGACTTTTGTTGAAACGATACTTCCTAGATGGGTGAAGGAAGTAACCTCTGTTAAATCTTTCCCTCTGATGGTGATTGGTGCTGGTTGTTGCTGCTCTTGGTAGTGGTTGGTTACCTTTATCATTTCTGTTATCGATATGTTCACTTGGAATCCTGTCTTCACTGCCTGCCTGCCTGCCTCTTCAGCCAGTTTGTTTGTTTTCACCTGTAGGTATTTGAGTTTGTGTGACATTATATCTGCGAAATCCAGATCTTCTAGAGCCTTATTGTCAGTGGTACAGAAAATTAACATGTGATTATTATAATTTTAATTCTGCTCTTTTATTTTTGCAAAATCACATTCACTGCAGTTATATTTTATAAGGTTTTTATTCGATTAATGAGTTTAAAAGTAGAAATCTACTATCCTCAACATAAGGAGAAAGATCTGAATTTACAACACCATTTTCAAGTCACTGCCCCCTTCACGATTCACAGACTTGCCGTGTACTTCACGGAAACTATTCACAACAGGCTCTAGACTCTCTTTAGCATCAACCGTCATTTTATACTGGAAATTCAATAGTGATTCAGGAAAGATAAATAACAAGGAACTCTGACAGTAAAGTGAATCAATTGAGAACCAACCGTCTAACAACTACGCAGAAGTAGGTGTCGGTGAATTCGACATAGGCCGAGGAGACTGCCTGATGATTGGTATCACGCACTAGGCCGTCTGGTGGAACCGTCACTAGAAGTAAGCCTTAAGCTGTGCGTCCATGGGTGATATAGAAATGATGTGTTGCTGAAGGCGTATGTTCTGCTTCGAACTGAAGCGGCGAATAATACATAGTGATAGTAATGATATTTTCTGAATTATTTCTACTTCGTGTTAATCCTATCTTTACCTACCTGGAACAAAATGCGGTTCAAGCGCATTTCTAATGATTCTAATATTTACAAAAAATGGATACTGAACAAAGATATTTTTGGCTAACTTTCCTGAGAAAAATAGACAATAAATCATACTCTATACCATTCAAGTGAAACCTTGTAGTGATACTGATTTTCCGTGATATTTTTAATCATAGTTATTCTGGTAACTCATTTGACGTAGTCGTCGGTGCCGGAGTAAACCATCTGAGTACTGTGGTAGTATATGACTCCACATTTGATAAGATTTTTGAATATAAGACGCACACACATATACACGATGTTACAGTATATCAATAACCGGATTACTTCATGAGCACAACTTACTGCTCATAGATACATCAGTATATTTCACGAAATTTCATAACTTGCTCTACTCCGCTTGGTTTTATTGTAATTTTTAGTAGGATCGATACAAATATATTGTCGTTTTAACTGAGTGTGCTTGGCGTTGACTCGACAGACAAAGATTCGCTGACCAACTTCACTTTCCACCTAACTATATTGCTGTTTAATACATTTCCCCCACCTAGCCGTACTGTATGCTAATATGTGAGTTAATAGATTGTATTGAGCTATCTTTTGTTCAACTCATCGAAACCGATCATTCTAGATCTAGCTAAATTCCAGTGTTTGAAACATTGGGAACCATCGAATTGTTGTCTATCGAATCAACATCAAAGAGGCACAGTCGAAATGATGCAACAAACATCCTGAATATGTGAAAAATTGCAATATAAAGGAGTGAAAGCAGGTGAGTTCTAGGCTCAGTAATCCTGCCTAGACTAAATGGTCCATGGGAGACACAAACATGAGAGAACCAGACTGGCTTTAGCCTCAGAATAGGGTGTATTGGTCATGTCTTCACCCTTCAACAGATTCTCGAACAGAAGCATACTTACCGCCGGCGTCCAACAATCGTTATATTTCTTGATCTGAAGGCGGCATTTGATTCTGTCGACCAAGAGGTACTCTGATGATGTTTGGCTGTTAAAGGAGTGCCGAGGAAATACACTGCACTGATCATGGCACTCTTCTCGAACTCATGCAGTCAGCCAGGTGAGAGCTGACGGTGAGTTGTCATCTGAAGTGGTGACAACCAGTGGTTTCCGTCAGAGATGCTCGTTATCCCCGTTTCTCTTCAATTTCATCATAGATGTACCAATGAAATTAACCTTATGTGGTTTCAGAGACTCATGGATTGACTTGTCACCAGGGAATAGTAGTCTCGTTGACTTAGAATATGCAAATGATATAGTCCTTCTAGGTGAAGACGCTGACAAAATGCAGTCTTCTAAACACCTTGAGCTGCAATGTACGAATGTTTTGCATGCGATTTGCCCCGGCCAAACGTAAGATGATGTCACAGGACTGGACTACAATAACTCCTAGCTGAGAAATAGGGAGTGTAATGGTGGCTGAGCGTGTTGACCACTTCACTTATTTGGGAAGTACCATCAGCTCCAACGGGTTGATCGCCGACAAAATCTCAGCTCGGAAGGCTTGGTTCGCCTATGCCAGTTTACGCCCTCTCTGGTGTAAACGTGATATCCGGCTATCAACCAAAGATGTGTGTACTGCTCAGAAGTCAGCTCCATCCTCCTTTATGGCCGGCTGTAAGACCTTCGCATTGAGAGCGGAGGAAAAATGAAAAGCCTGGCTAGCTGTCTTTAATCATACGTGCTTGTGTTGTATCTCCCGTGTGAAATGGTATAATATGGTGAGCAATATTGAGGTTAGGCATCGAGTGCTAAGTAAGGAGGGGAAATCAATTGACGAGACTATGAAGCTACATCGATTTGGAGGGTTGGGGCATGTGTTACACGTGCGTAGCCACCGCCTTCCTCGACGGGCAGTATCAGCTGACATAGGGTCACGTTGGAAGAGCCAGTGGTTTTCAAACTAAAACATGGCTTCATCAGTCAATGAAATTCACAGCAGTTAGTTTAACCCACGTAGGAAGGGGTAGACTTCTTAACTGACTAGCTAAGGACCTCGGGACGGTAAACACCAATGGCTGGAAACAATTTGTGATATGGCCGTTTCTAAATTGTTCTCAATGGCTGGCGCAAATGCATCCTTTCCTTGTGACTTTTAATTTACAATAAAACTGTTGTGTTCTTCGTTATTACCTATCATTTTGTCTCATATCCCTATCTACTGTCTTTGGTTTGGATTTCTTCTACTTTCTTCTCTTGCTTTGTGTGGTACATGCAGGGAATGTGGAGACTCGAATTGCTGCACATCGGTGCAAAGTTCTATGTCGAAAACAGACAGACAGTGAAAGCGAATAAGGTTATCAATTTGTGTGAATAAACTAATATGATTATAAGCAGCAATAAATTGTGTTCCAGTTATCATTCAGTTAATAATACTTCATGACAGTGTTATGCCAAATAAACTTATCCAATATAGAATATATTCATCAGACCCCTTACTGAGAATAGGTGTGATGACTAGTGATTACTACACACTGACTTATACAGACTATGATCTCCAGAGGAACTGCTAAATACGCCCAAAATTATATATTTTCTTTTACCTGTATCATTATTATTGGTCCATTATTTTCATAAAGAAACGGTTTTAATTTAGGCAATAGCATACTGTACCATCGATCGACTTCACCGACAAATCCTGTAAGATAAGAAGAAGACAATATATAACATTAGGATATATTTCTCTTAATTTCATTTCACTGCACTTCACTATTCTTGAACGAATTATGTTCGATATGTTCAGATTTCTGAGCTTTCTAGGTTTTATCATCAAGGCACCACTGTTAACTCGTACAGCTTGTTGTAATCTTGGAAACGGGAATTCACATTAAAAGTGACTGTGATGAGCTACCGAAATCATAATAAAGCATTTTTGTTCAGTTTTCGAGGAGTAGATGATGTTGTATGTGAATTCAACCGATTCAGAACGGAAAGAGATATCAAAATTATTTCAAAGTAATTCTGTATATCGATTTTTTTCACTTTTGTGTTTATCTGCATTCGATTACTTTCAAGATAGATTTTGTCAGTAAGTAATATTATTAAAAGAATAATCGGAAGCCAGGGAGTTGTGCATAGCTGTTCTGTACTGATCGGCAGCTTGACCTGTGGTGAGAGCTGTCTGCTAGCCAAAATTGGTAGACAGTAATTTACGTCAATACTTTCGTTTCCAGTATTGGTCATGAGAAAAATAAGAACAAAGATTGACTTTGAGTAGGCGGACACAATTTGCAGATAGATAATCTGGACTTCAAGAAACGGCCACAAAACGATGAAGGATTAACGTTCAGAGAGAAACCCCCAATCAGAAGACTGTGTTTGTTTGCTTACAATAATCTATAATAATGTACATGAAAATCTATAAATATCTGTTGATTTTGAAATAATAGAGAAGATTTGTAGTGCAGGCGGATGATTTGCAATTAATAGTGTTCTCTTAGCTGGTTGGTTTAGTTGCGGAGCTATCGTCGTCCTTCTGGACAACATCTTCAGCGCAATATTTAGCATAAAGTGAAATGATTTAAATTTCTTCATGAATGATATAATTGCGTCTCCTGGTAACTAATAAAAAGTAAATCATATGACCAGAAAGTTTAAAATCCGAGTCAATAGAAAATGGTCAATACATATGTAAAGATGGTTACCAGGAGACGCAATTATATCACTCATGAAGAAATTCAAATCATTTCAATTTATGCTAAATATTGCGCTGAAAGAGGATGTTGTCCAGAAGGGCGACGAAAGCTCCGTAACTAAACCAACCAGCTCAGAGAACACTATTAATTACATATCTGTTGACTTCCTAAATAAACGATCTTTTGCCTAGCCCTTGTCTTCTGTTGTTACAGACCAATGACTATGACCCTTAACATTCAGATTCCGAAGTGAACACATTACACTTCATTCAGTTGGCATAAATTGTGATTTTTGACATTTCACGATCTGCTGAAACTGCTTTCTCATATAATCGGTGAATATCTGCTGCCATATTCGATTTGGTTGACTCTGTTGGCTGATGGTGTCCCAAATGATGTTATCTTTTCAAATAAACTAGATCTCCGTGACTTAACAATTGAGAATAATGATTGACTAGGTATGAACGTCCTAGATTCCTCATAAGAATAGAGATAGATATGCTTCCCTGGGTGATACCTGATGGTGGTTGGCTGTGTCACTAAGTGTCAGGAGATGCAGTCCGCTGGTCGTCGGTTTCTACTTATTGGATAAGTGGTTTCGTGGTCGAAATGAGACCACGTTTATTTTGATAAAATGTACCACCCTAAATGCCTTAAGTGAACAGCTTAAGGCGCAGTTCAACAATAGCCTCCAGGATTGTGAACGCTTCAATGACCTTGAACGGATGCTATTTGATGGCTAACGGCACCTATCATTATCATAGCTGAATTATCAACGCTATTCACCAACTAAGCAGGAAATTTAACCCAGATCACGTTTTTAAGTACTGTTCGCACAATGTGTTAATAGCTCGTAAGGGTTAGAGTTAGGGTTAGGGTAAGTATTGCGGTCAGGGTTAGGATCAGGACCATAATTAGGATTAGGGTTAAAATTACAGTTTGAATGAGAGTTATGATTAGGGTTAGGTTTAGTGTTAGGGTCAGGATTAAGCTTATGTTTACGATTAGGGATAGATTTATAGTTGGTGTCATTTATTTTAATTTGTTTTATTGCCGACGTTTTCCTGGTAAGTAGTCGTCTATCCTCTTACTGGAAACCATAATAATTCAACCGAGAGCTTTCTTGGAAGACTGCAAGCAGGATGAGAGAGATAAACGATCCACAGAAACAGTTTATCTGTAGTCATCTAGGTGAATACATGTACAGAAACTAGTCTAACTTATCCACTGATTCTCCGGGTTATAACTAGGACGTATTTTTAAGTCATGTCAGCCAAAGATAACCTGTTTAATGCATTTTCAAGCATTTTCTTGTCAATATACATTATTTTTTCAGCAAACATTCCCCATTTTCATGATCGGTCAGCTGAAGGTCACTCGTGCGTTCGCACTCCTGGGACGCTATTGTTGAACTTTAATCAGTTTAAATACACTAGAAAGAAACTTTAAGATAGATTTAAGCTAATTTCCACAGGCTTAAAAGTCAATAACCATTTGGTTAGTTTTATAAGAATTTTGTTATGAAGATTTGAGAATTATTAGAAGACTTAGTGAAGTAGTCACTGAATCATAAAAAGTTATATTAACAGATGTGTTATGTACTAGTTTTAGTTTTCCCCGTCGCCAAATTGTTATGTACTCGTCGCTAAGATTGTTATGGACTGGTCGAGAATCTAATAGTCCTGACGCGAGAAGGCGGAAATCAGAAGACCACTAGGTTTGCGATGATACTTCTATTGTCCAAACACAAGGAGACGAAAATAAATGGTCTCACACCAAAGTGGTAAGTAAGTAAAAAAGTAGTTGTAAAGTAGTTCACACAAATTGTGAATGCGAATATATATAAATAATTCAGACAAGCGTGGAAAAGTCATTAGACAGTCTTAACATGAATGGCTAATTATAATGGAGTGTCGATCCAATTATACATAGCGAATATAGCAGACATGCCAACAAACATATATGGATATATGTCACCAAGCAACGGACTGTCAACAAACACTCATATTATATATAATATAATATAAGGAGAATACACATTATTAAAGGAGACAAGTCCATACAAGTGAAGTGGTCACAGACTAACCGAGCAAACAGAAAGAGAGACCAACATGCACACACACATAAATATATATATGTGGATACATATCAAGATGCACTGAAGGCAAATTGTCCCGAAGTTCATCGGGAAATCGTTGTTTTTTTGTGAATTCAAGTTAGAAGATGATACGATCTGGTAGCAACTGACGAGTAGAAAGAAACTTACCATCAACCACTTTTATCACACTTAAAATGGAACCTTTTTGAGATGTTTTTATACACAGACTTTCTTTAGGTGGTATTGATTTTTGTCGTTGCTTTGCGTTCCGGGCAGAACATAATCCTCAATCTCTAGACGCTTACATTTCAGTAGTAATGGTGTTGCTTTCTTAACGGAGATGGGGGTTGTTAGCCCCACTCCTAACCTTTCGCCTTTAGCTAGCTTAGCACCGGTTGAATGAGTTTTAGGAGTGTATCAATGGGGAACGGAACTTAGGGTCAGGTTTGCACCTGGATAACACCCTACCATTGAATCATCGATCATATTTTTCCCCAATTATTCAACAATTGATCATAAATGCCCGTTGTTTAGTGAACAAAGAATATTCATTTCCGATAACTTTCTCTTCATTGGATTCTACAGTTATGCCTCCAGGTATCTAGAACAGATGCGGAGATTTTCTGACCATCTGTTTTTTTGGTTGATTTAGTAAACAAGCGATTCACACATTTGTCTTTATCTGTTTTATTCAGTCTAACTTAGTTTCTAAAGTGTTTTATTATTCTAATAAAGATTTATCAAATGCATTGATGTCCTTATTAAGGCTTTTTTCTGTTGATTTGATTTGCTTCATATGCCTTTTTTTAACTCAGGTGATACAGTGCTAGTACTTTTGTAACCAAGGAAAACAAGGGCTAGGTAACAGGTCATTTATCGAGGAAATCAACAGATATTTATAGATTTTTATATACAGTATTATACGTTATTGTTAGCAGAGAAGCAATGTCTTCTTATTGGTTGCTTTTCTGCTGAAGGTTATTCTGTCATCTCTTTGTGGCCAGTTCTTTGAAGGTCAGACCATGTATTTGCGAATCGTATCCGCCCACGCAGCGTCTGATGTTATTGGTTGTTGAGTTAGTCTTTGTTCTTGTGTTTTTTCTCATGCCCGTGATTTGGGACGTAAACATTGACGTAAATTGCTGTCTACCAATTTTGGCTAGAAGACACCTCTCACTAGCCTTTGACAGGGGAAATAGACTAGTGAGGCTAGTTTTAGGGTTTATTAAAGGTAAACGTGAAGCGACTGCCTATAAATGGTTGAGAGATTTGGTGCGTCACAAAATAGATTTCCAACAAACTACTACAGACTTCCATCAACAGCTACCACTTCTCTGCCTTCATATTGATGATCAAATGGTCTTGTGGAAGGGTAAAGGAATAGAGAACTATAGAAGTACAGAGAACCATTCAAGAACCCATCGTAAAACAGATAGGTGGAGATGGATTGGACATATGCTTAGGAGATTTTCAAGTGATACCATTAAAGCTGGGTAAAGAGTGAAGTCCCAATGAGAAATAACGAGCTAGTTGTCTGAAGGTGACATAGAAGATATAGTTTGAGGAATAAATGAAAGATTATATGCAGTCGTGGGGCTATTTATAGAAGACTTCACAGAACAGAGGGATGTGTTCCTCAAAGCCTATTTTCCATTGGGAATTCTGGGGACAAATAATAATAATAGTGGTAAGTTATAACGAAGGTGTATACTAGTGGTAGATATGAGTATTTGTGCGTCGGTGACAGAGAGGATAGGACGCTCGCCAACCATGCACATGGTCCGAGGTTCGATCCTCGGCCGACGCACACCTGATGTCAATGGTCGGCATGATAAATCTGGGCTACCGATATCACATGCTGTAAATTCCATACTTGTATCAAAAATAATGTGTAGAGTCAAGCTATAATAAAATTAAAAATTAAAATAAATCAGTGCTCGCTAGCCATATTAGAAGTGACCTGAATATACGGAATAGCTGTTTCACTGGTTTAGGACTGTGATCATCAGCACTGTACGTGATTCAACTCAACCTAGACAGCCAAGTCAGTTCAACCATTCAAATTCTGGCCAGTTACTTGGGCGAACTGGCGATACACAGAATTACAAGTACAACATTAACAATATGATTATTCTTGCATTGATTTCATTGTTGTCAATAATATTAACCATTCTATATCAACAGAATGCTTCTTTTACTTATTACGCCTTCCTCTGAAATCTAACCCTCTCTGCAAACTTATTCTAGTGACACTCAATATACTAATGATATCGATTTATAAGTAGAACACACTTTCGTGTATAGTAAATCAATAAATACCGATAATGTAAAAGCCTCAATGTCGCCTCAGGATATCTCGAAAGTTCTTCATCATATATGAAGAGGCAAACTAAACTAACAGGGAAACATTTGCAAAAAAACAAGAAAAGTTAACAGCTGTTCCGTTCTAGTCCAGTACTGTTCAACAGTACAAATCCCTGACTCCACTGTGAATCAAATCAAGGGTGTATACTGCTCTAAAGTACAAAACTAGGCGACACAGCTAATCAGCGCTCCATTGATTTTCCATAATGCTTTAACTAACGTCGATCGGTTCTAAAGTGAAACTTAAATCAGTCAAAGCCTAGTGAACCAGGAAAGTGAATCAATTTGTATGATATATGTTTACCCCTCCCGCTAAAACAGTAGACACTACCGTCAGTAGAATTCCAAAGGCTGGTGTTGATGTGACGGAATAACAAACAAATTGTGAACAAAATAATGAACTTGATATGGCTTCAGGTAATAGAGTAATTTCTTTACCATCTAAGGTACAAAACTCAGAAGGTTTCAGAATCACTGATGGTCTTATGTAACTCTTCGACAGAGCATGTCTTATATAATTTCTAGTACATCCTGACGAGTGACAACTAGCACAAAACCTAGGTTGAAGGCTTCCTGCAGATTGCCTCAAACTATCTAGTACATCCTTACGTTCAATTACACTTTACCATGAACTAGAGTGCTCACCATTTCCTAAATAATGAATTCATTTGACGGTTTGACGTCTATTCATTGAATTTTGACAAATCAGTACATTGAAATGCATGATATCACAATACCTTTCAAGTAATAAAGTATTCATCAACAAAACATACCTTCATCAGATGAACGCAAGGTCATACTTTCATTTAGATAAAACAGCCACGGTGGAAGTCCTCCCTAAAATTGAAAAAAAGAACAAAGAAATGAGAATGATTGCTTGGTGAGCAAAATAAATATTTTTTCCGATAACTATCTCCCATGGCCCTAGGTGTGCACCGGTTGCACAGAGGTAGAACGCTCGTCAACTACATCTCATGTGGTCAGGGGTTCGATCCCCGGCCGACACACACCTTTACCTTGCCAAGCCAGTAATAAGACTGGTAAAGAGGGAAAGTTGGGTGTGAGGCTAGCAACCCTATCCCGTAAAAACAAACAGCACTCCTACCGAAACTTCAGCGCTCTAGCCTGAAGCCTTATGTTGCATTGGGAGAGTAAATGAATAAAAACGTGACCCTATCCACAGGTGTAGCTGAATAATGGTGAGATAAAACCCCTTAAGAGTTCGATAATAAAATGCCTGATCCACACTCAGTGTAAAAAAAGAAAAACTTCAAAGGGATTGCAGTGATCAGAAATGTACGGGAGAAATACTAGTAGAAGGAAAACACTTGACAGTCTAGTAGGTACAGGATATAAAAAGAGAGAGGGAGTTCATCTGTGTTATCAACCACAGTTTGAGACATATTGCAAATATTCACCAGACATTGGCTCTCAGATTCCACAGGACCTCAACCAAACAGTCTAAACCTCCTTAAGTCGCTAAAACTATCTGTCAGAGACTTCGTGGATTAGTACCAGACTTTGTGTTTACCACGCCTAACTCTTTTCAACCTATTTCTATGTCAGATAACAATGCTCGTCGTGGAGGGCATTGGTTTGGTCTGCATAACATGCATTCTAGCCATCTCAGTCAATATGACTTCACAAAATGTTCGACTAACTTCCTTTCTTTACCTAGCATTGTGTGTCTTACCTCAATTTTGCTCACCATATTATACCAGATGACACGAGAGATAGAAAAGAGACAGCGTGCCTCTTCGTATCTTCCACTTTGAATCACCATGCTCCGCTTTCAAAACGGAGGACAGAACAAAAGCTTCTGCTCAGTGTTCATATGCCTTACCTGATAGTGGGATATCTCGTCTATGCCAAAAATGATATAAACTAACAAAGCAAAATACATCGGGCGTACGCAACGTCAAGTTCACAAACGTATTCTGGAACACTGTCCAGCTTGGTTAGCCAGAGGAGAAAAGAAGAATAGCAACGGCTTGATCCTCGAACACCTTATCATCTCCGGACATCGAGCACCCTCACATGAATTCTTCACAGTGATATACAGAGTCCCTCAATATCGTCCAGAGGGACTTCGGATATCCTATCTGTACATAGCTGAAACACTAGCTATTCGAGTTCTGAAAGCGGACATCTTCATTCAAAAGCAATACATGCATTCTCTCACTCTACCATGGCCGGAGTAAAGTTCTTGCTACAATTTTGCTTCTTTCCTTCATTATGTAAGTTCCCTATTATTATTAATATTATTATTGTTATTAATACTTTTATTATCATTACTATTACCATCATCCATATTTTATTACCACTCTATTACTGTTTATTAATAACATTTCTTTTTCATACAGATTTTACACGACGGCACTTTTAGCCTTTCCACTAGTTCCTGTCCATTCTACACGAGCCTATTGATCAGTCATTATCTCACGGTTATAATGTTATTCCAACTTCTGTCTCTTTTCTAACTCACATTTAGTCATCCCTTCTTATACCTTACATTATGTAATACTATTTTTCAAGAACAAAGTTTACCAGTATCTGATTGGTCTAAACATTTTTTTGTTAAATATAATTACGATTGTCCAGCTCATGAAAATGAATCGTTGAAAAGGGAGAATTTTCTTCGCTGTTTGTGCCTTTTTCTTAAAACTAACAGTTGTCAAACAAGCCTTTTACATTCAGACTTAGATTTCGTAAGCACTCAATCCATTGGATCTGGTGCAACTTCCATATCTTTAAACTAGAATTCGGTGTAGTTCAGTCCAACAACATCAACTTACATTCGTTAGGAGCGAATCACATGTGTCAAACATTTCAAGACTTCTGGTCAAGGTATTCACAATGCTCTACTGAATTTGGTCAGCGTCTTCACCTAGGAGGATAATATCATTCGCATACACTTTAAGTCGACAAGATTGTACCCTGGTGACAAGACAATCTCTAAGTCACTAAAGTCAACTAAGATCGATCCTTTAAATATGTATCTATGATAAAATCAAACAAAAAAATGGGGATGATAGGCATCGTTGACGGATACCACCAGCTGTCTTCGGTTCAGACGATAACTCTCAGCAATACATATATATATATATATATATACATATACTGTCACGAATTATGTCATCGTTATTGTCAGAAAAGAAAAGTTGCTGCACTTACTAACTGTATTTTATCTTCAGTATATGGACCAATCTTCAATACAGCCAACATATTCATGTCTGATAATATTGATAAAAATTGTTCAATATTTCTATTGTCCTCAAAAGAACAGTTGTCATAATCTTGACAATGATAATTCCATGGGATAGGACTTTAAATATTTTTGTCAATTATATATTGCTTTCTTAAAAATTCTTTTTTTTTACCTGTAAACAACATTGATGCCTAAATTCAGCATTTCTGTCACTTTCTCTGCCCAATAAATATACGGTACACGATGATAATACAAGCTTCCAGAGACAAACTGAAATGGTTGACGATCTATTAGGAAGATACCGTCATCCACATCGATTTCAAAACTTCTACTATCTTCATATTCATAATCACACCTAGTGCAGACCAGCAGCAGGGAAAGCGTTGAAGTTAAAACTGTTAAAAACAACAACAGGAAAACACAAACGAGGTAATAAGAATATTTGCTAAGATTTTTAACTTGGAAAATATATTTTCACGCCTTGACTTGTAGAGATTTGGTGGATTTCAGTTTTGGTCACCGACTGACTTCACTTGGATAACCGCTGAAAACTGAACAGTCGTTTTGTTCCAGTTTGAGAGCGCCAAACACTTACTATTCCATCAGGATTGCTGATTATTCATCCGCTGGGATAGAATCTTATGGTCACCCAGTGAATTGAAACTTATGATGATATTAGACGGTTGGAGGCACCTAGGTTTCGTGATAGTTGGCACTCACCAGTCAGCAAGGCATATCTTCAACCATGAAGGAACTCATTCCCCTTCTGAGATTCAAACCCACGCCACTCAGTGCTTCAGTGAGAGACATTACCACTGAGCTATTCGGGCTCACGATCGACGTCATGTAGGACTGTAGTGAATACTTTGATTGGACACTTGTCAGTGACTAGTGTGATGTGTCTAGTCCTTTGTTTAGTTCAGAATGAATCCTCTCAGTCAGGTTTGAAATGTGACCACCATTCTAGGCAGCTCGCCATCACGGTGCACATTGATTTGATGATGTTAGGCGGTTGGAGGCAATCGGCAAGACCCCTTCGACCTAGGTTTCGTGAGTTCCTTCCGCCTTGCTAACTGGTGAGTGCTAACTAGCACGAAACCTAGATGGAAGGCTTCCTGTGTCCGATTGCCTTCAACCATCTAATATCATCAAATTACTGTGCACCGTGATGGCGAGCTGACTAGAATGGCGGCTACATTGCAAACTTGACTGACAGAATTCATTCTGCACCAAACAGCAAGGACTAGACATATCGCACTAATTATTAGTGTTCAATCAAATATTTGTAACTTCTTCCAGTTGGCGATAAATATCGCGACCACAAATCAATGTCATCGGTGCGTACTTCTCAATTTTCCATACTGAACTTTGCGGAACTCACCGGTTGCGGATTCTTAATCGAATTTCAGGTAACTTATTCCTGTAGCCACTTCCTAGTGAGCATTAGATTATTACTGCAGAGTCTAAAATTAGGTTGAAACAGCCTCACTGTACTTCCCACTGGTTTTCACTGGTTCTCTACCTGAAATCAATTCATGATCAAAATTAGAAAGTACAATTGTTACGGTAATTTATCACGTATTTAGGCTATAACTCTGACTGAATTTCTATCAGCAAGATTTTCGACAAGTTCATCAATTCAGGTGACCTATCATCTCACTGTATTTCGAAATTGATGTTAAATATTTTGGAGGATACCCATAAGCGACTCTACACCTTGATTTCTTTATAAATGGAATATCTTTAATCTCGAAGGAATTTATTTCCTCACGGAGATTCGAACTCGCGTAACTCATTATTTCAGTTATACTATAAACATTAGGGAAGATACCCAGTTCTGGCTCCTGAAACGTCTTGAAACTAACTGATTTTGCATGGAGGGAAGAAGTTCATAAGAGCTCTGGACTTGAGTTTTGTGTGTCATTATCTCTCCTAAGCTAGATATGTCTGCAGCCTTGGAGGAAGTTATATTTCTAGAGAGATGAAACTGGACTGATTCAATATTGAATGCACAGTGGCAACAAACAAAGGAACTTATCTATAAGGCTTCCTACCTCTGACCATCAAATATAGAAAACTTAATTCTTTGAAAGGTACATAATAATATTCAACCCAGAAGGAATCAGGTGTATGTAAAAAGTGGAGGATTTCGTAATGAGCTGACATCATTTAGATGACCATTGGAAAACCAGCTGGGAGTACTGGACAACTGTTTCGTCCTAGTTTGAGACTCTTCAGCAGTATGCACCCACTGGGGTTCGAATCTAGGACCTTCTGGTTACGAGGCTGGTGAGCTCGTAGACCATTAAGCCACTGGGACCCGATCCCATGGTCCTACAATGTAAAAAGTATTAAGTGAATCGAAAATGGATGTTTACGCATTATACAAGTTAAACTGAGCATTCGCGTGGTTAAGAGGTTTTGACAATTAACAGCTGTAAGTAAATCGATATTATATTTCATTTTTCATTCTGTCTTAACTTTACTAGTTGTATTTCCTCTTAAATCAAAATAAAGAACAGCGCATTTAAGGGTGAATAATACTGTCTTCAATTAGATTTCAACAGGCTCTACTCTAATATGCATTACTTTAAAAAATATAGATTAAATATAAACCAATCATGATGGTTTGTCAATAGAATGATAAGATTGTACATATCAGTTGTGCAGTTAGTCATCATAGTAATGATTCTATCAATAGCACAAAGACGAAAATGTGAAGCCAGCTGTGGTAACAAGAATAATAAAATATCCGAGATTAATGTTAGTAATAAACTTGTGGTATCCATGGATGTATCATCACTATTGATGAATTTACCACTTTCGAAACGCTAGACTTCATACGTTGAGAAATCACAGAAAGCTAACTGGACTTGAGAATTCCCTTGTGAAGCCTCAAAAAATGACTCCTTAAGTGCCCAATGAATGTTCACTTTCAGGATTTCATCATGAGCTGACATTAGTTAGAGAACCATTGGAATACCAGTGAGTACTGAACAGCTGTTTCGTCGGCCTAGCTTGGGGCTCTTCATCAGTACGCACTCGCCGGGATTCGAACCCAGGACCTTATGGTTACGAGGCTGGTGAGCTCGTAGACCATTAAGCCACTTGAACCCTATCAGTATCCCATGAAGCGATCAAATGCAGAAGCTTTAGTTTAAGAAGCAACTTCATTGAAGATTCAGCCAATGGGACGGAATCCAATGACTGACCTGTCAATTCTAAATTTTTCCAGTTCGCTATATATATATCATCTGCCAGATAATATCCAACTCGGTGGAACCCACTAGAATTTGAAGTGACCTCATTGTCTAGCCAGTCACTGGTGAGCATTATGTTTTTTGTGGGGTCTTAGATGCTTCTGCTTAACAGCCCCAATCTGTGATGACAGGAACAGCTGTCCCGCATGCCCTGATAGTTTTCAATGGTTCTCTAATGGATATCAAATGATAATATATATACATAAATGACTCAACACGTCTTGTAGATTTGATGATATGGGTAGAAACACATTTCTTTATAGGCATCCTTTACTGCATAATGTCAATATTTGTGAATCTAGAGGTAAGCTGATCAAAAACTGCACAAAAAATATCTACAGAGAAAATAAAATTGAGTCATTAATCTTGATAGGGAATTTATACAATGTTGAGGTTTACGCCTTTTAAAAATGTAGTCTTCCAGCCACTTTATCCACACCACAGAATACAAAGCAATGAAAGTATGCAATCATGCGTCGGTGACACAAAGGGTACGACGCTCTCCAACCATTCGCATCGTCAAGGGTTCGATCCCCTGCTGACGCACACTTGATATCATTTGTCGGCCTGCTAAATTTAGGCTACCGATATCATATTCTGGAAAGTCCATACTTGTGCCAAAATACTGTAAGGAGTCAAATCAAGTTTAAATTTATATAAGGTTTTTCTATGGATAATTAATAATGGGTATGTAAAAGTTATTTTGAGTGTTTCTTTCGCCTATTATGCATAAACCTTAAGAAGTTATTTCTGAGCAGGTATACCGCACTCTACGTGAGACAACACAGAATTTTAGCGTTATCATTTGACTTTTGTTTAGAAAGTATTTCTTGATTTACAAGTGGTATTTTGCATAGATTTGATTGACTTCAATTTTGATCATGATTTGACATCCGTTAAACAACCATGGAAAACTATCAGGAAGTACAGGGCACCTGTTCCTGACGTCATAGTTCGGTGTTGTTAAGCAGGATGCATCTAAGACCCCATAAAGAACATTATGCTCACTAGTGACTGGCTAGACAATAAGGCCACTTCAAATTCTAATGGGAAGTCGAAACCAGCGGGTTCCACCGAGTTGGATATTATCAGTCGGACGATTTGTATATATAGCGAACTGGGTGAATTTAGAATTGATAGGTCAGTCATTCGATTTCGTCCCAGTGGCCGAATCGTCAATGAGGTTGCTTCGTAAGCTGAAGGTTATGCATTTGATCACTTACAGGGACATATGTGAGTAATGATGAAGAATCGCAAGTTAGAACAAAACATCTAACCAGTACTCCCAGCTGGTTTACAATGGCTATGTAACTGAAGATAATTTCTGGTCAAACATGGAATACATTTTTGTTGTCATCTAACTTACTGTAACTTATTATTATTTCCTTTAATTCCTAGAGGAACATAGGGCTTCAGCTGCGCTTCTCCATTGCGTTTGGTTCTCTGCTAGAGTTTTCCAAGTCTGCCTACATGTTTCCATCTCCTCTTCACATGACCTCCTCTAAATCACACTAGTACGACCAACTCGCCACTTCCCTGTCGGGTCCCCTCGAGCAATGGCTTGTCTAGTGATGAAACTTGATGGTTTCCTCAGAGTATGGCCAATCCATCCTCATTTCTCCCTGCCTATTTGATTCACAATCGGTTTCTGGTTGGTTTGCTCATTGACAGAGATCCCTGTTGCTGATCTTTTCTGGCCAGCCATCTGATCTTGAATATTTAGCGAAGATAGCTGTTAGTGAAGGTCTGTAGTTTGTTTGAGACTCTCTTTATGACGTGCCAGGTCTCTGATCCGTATAGTAGCACTAACTTTACATTGGAGTTGAAAATCCGGATCTTATTTTCACTTTCATGCTGAGTGCTGTTGACCTCCACACAGACTTAAGAGTAATGAAAGCTTGTCTTGCTTTTTCGATTGTTACTTTGATATCCTCGTCAGTTCCGTCTGCCTGTAGTTGAAACGATGCTTCCCAGGTACGCAAATAAAGTTGTTTCTTTCAGGTTCCCCCATTTATTCTGATTGTTGTCTGTTGTTGTTGTTGCTGTAGGTGTTACCCAGGAATCTTCATCACTTCTGTTTACTCTATGTTTACCTGAAGGTCTATCATATCTGGATGCTTCTTCTGCCAGCTTGTTGCCTTTGACTTGCATATCTTCCAGTTTGTGAGAAATCAGACATATATCATCGGCAGAGTCCAGATCCTTCAAGTTCTTTTTTGTGTTTCTCCATTTCATACCTTTTTCCTCTTTGCCCTGTGTCTGTCGCACAATACATTCAACCGCAATCAAGAAAATCATTGCAGATAGTAGGCAGTCAACTTGTCTTACTCCTGTCTTCACTTTGAAGGATTCCTTAGGTTTTCTGTTGTGGATTACTTGGC